CCCTTACCCCCCCCAACCCGGAATTCGGGTCTTCGGGTTGGGTTGGGATGGTCTGGTAGGTAGTCAGGAAGCACTCCGGCACGTAATGATCGTCGGGCGGCTCAAGCCGCCGTCCTGGCAGGCACCTTTGAGCGCCCCAGGGAAGCGCATTGTCAGAGCCCAGAATCATCAGGGGTAACTCGGGTCAGGGCTAACTCGGGTTCGCTTTTCGGGATTCCGAACCCGAGTTACCCCAGTCCCGAGTTACCCCGGATAACTCGGGCGTCCAGAGCCCCGAATCATCAGGGGTAACTCGGGTCAGGGCTAACTCGGGTTCGTTTTTCGGGAATCCAAACCCGCGTTATCCCGGACCCGAGTTACCCCGGATAACTCGGGCGCCCAACATTTGCAGTTTTGGCAGGTACCTTCGTGCACACCTGGCAGGCGTCCTGGCACGCCCCAACGAGCATCGCAAGGAAGCGTCATGGCAGGTGCTTACCCCCTTCACTACCCCACCCCTTCGTCCGCCCCGTCGCCGTGGTCGTTATGGCCGTCGTGCGTGATCTTCTCGTTCTCTGTCTTCTCGTTCCCTCTCTGCCCCCGTTCCTCCATACCTTCTTGGTCCTCATTGTCCTTTCCGGTTTTACCCACATTCCCCATCTCCCCCTCCCGTTCTTTTGCTTCGCCGTCTCTCTTTCTCTCCGTTTCGTTCTTCTCTCGCTTCTCCTGCTCCTCGTTATTTTCCTCGTCGTCCTCTTCAATATCCTCATTTATCCTCCTCACTCATCCCCTTCCTGCTTCCAAAACCTCACGCCTGCTTCTTGAACGCATGTGATCGATTGTGCTCCTCTTCTCTCCGCGTAGACGTCTCTCGACGTCCATCCGAACTGCCCCGCCCCGTCTTACCCTGCCTGCAGTAGGCCGTCGACGACAGTCCGAGCATCGCAAGTGCTACTCTGGGAGCAAGGCGTCCGATCCGACAGCCGAGAGATCCCTGGCAGCGGGAGGCGCTGTGCGCGAGGGCCGGGATGCCAGATGGGGCCCGAGCACGTCTGGCTTGACCACCTCCTCTGTCCCCGCCTCCCCCCCCCCCATCCCCCTATGTGTTCCCCCTCCTCCTCCTCTGTGCTCCCCCTCTGTGCTCCCCCCCCCCAACCCTCCCCGCCTCCCCCTCTCCCCGCCTTCCCCTCCCCCTTTGCCGCCCCAGCGGTGCGCCCGCCGCCCGCCCGACCGCCCGCCCGACCGCCGTCTGCACTCCTGGCCGCCGCCCGCCCGCCTCGCGACACCTCGGGGGCGCCCAACCCGACCTCTTGATGGCTTCCTTGGTGCCAGCGACTCGGACGACGACGATCCGGCCCGCGAGGCGAGGCGTTGGGTCGACCAGCGTCGCTCCACCGATGGCCGTGGGTTTGCAGGCTCTGGCTGGTGTGTGCGTGCGGCTGGTCCCTGGCAGGTCAGCACGCCTGACCTGACCGCCACAAAAACCGACCCTACCCGGGCGGGAGGAGACGGAGGAGAGGGAGGAGGAGGAGGAGGAGGAGGGGGAGGGGGAGGAGGACGAAGAGGAGAAGGAGGAGGAGGAGGAGGAGGAGGAGGAGGAGGAGGGAGGAGGGAGGAGGGGGGAGGGGGGAGGACAAGCTAGGTGCGCTCGCGTCATATCTGACATCCTACCCCTCCCTCCCATCCCTTACCATGACGCAGATCCCCTCTCTACTCGCTCAGTCGGATGTCGAGCAGGGCAATGATCCCGAAAGGGTACGCGATGCATTGTAGAGCACGGCATGGCATGGCGTAGAAGAGCACCGCAAAGCGTAGCATCAACCTAGCATTGCATTGCATGCCGTGGCATGGCACGGGAAATGACGCCAGCGCTGCAGCGGGAGCACGAGTCGAAACGAGCGGAAGCGCGGAAATGAGGCCAGCGCTGCAGCGGGAGCACGATTCGGAACGAGCGGGAGCACGGAAATGAGGCCAGCGCTGCAGCGGGAGCACGATTCGGAACGAGCGGGGCCCGAACATGAGGCCGGCGCCTCAGCGAGAGCAGCATTTTGGAAAAAAATGCAGGCGAAAAAAAAAACAACTCCGGGGAAACCCGTCTCTAAAAAAACAATACTCGGAGGGGGGTCGGCCATTTTCAAACCGTCATCAGGGGAAGAGGGAGAGTAGTATTCATATCGAGTAATTGTGGAGGAGGGGGAGGGAGGAGGAGGGAGGGAGGAGAGGGAGGGGAGGGAGAGGGAGGGGGGGAGGAGGGAGGGAGGGAGGAGGAGGAGGAGGAGGAGGAGGAGGAGGAGGAGGAGGAGGAGGAGGAGGAGGAGGAGGGGGAGGGAGGAGACGAAGGGGAGAAGGAGGAGGAGAGGAGGAGGGGGAGGTGGAGGAGGAGGAGGGGGAGAAGGGGAGAGGGAGGAGGGGAGGGGGAGGGGGAGGGGGAGGGAGGGAGGAGGGAGGGAGGGAGGGAGGGAGGGAGGGAGGGAGGGAGGGAGGGAGGAGGAGGAGGAGGAGGAGGAGGAGAAGGATAGGGAGGATAGGGAGGATAGGGAGGGTAGGCAGGATAGAGAGGCTAAGGAGGATAGGGAGGAAAGGGAGGAGGCTCGGATGGTACGCGCCAGGGCCTCAACGTCCGGCCACGGGTTGGCACAGCTGCCGACCCTGGGCCCAGAGCACGGGCACCGCCTCGAAGACCCGTGCGCGGCGGCCCGCCCCCCCCCCCCCGCCGACCTCGGGCATGCCAGCCCCCCCCCCTTCCCAGCTCCTCCTCCTCTTTCGCCTCCTCCTCCTCCTCCTTCTCCTCCTCCTCCTCCTCCTCCACATCCCTCCTCCGCCTTCGCACTTCTGCTCCTCCTCCTCTCCTCCTCCTCCTCCTCCTCATCATCATCATCATCAGCAGCAGCATGGTCATCTCCTCCTCCTTCTCCTTCCCCCCTTCTTCTCTCCTCCTCCTTTTCCTCCTCCTCCTCGTCCTCCCCCTCCTCCTCCTCCTCCTCCTCCCTCCTCATCCCCTCCTCCTCCTCCCCAGCCCCACCCGCCCGGATCCTCGCCGCCCCCTCTGCCCAGGCTTCCCAGAGGGGGTCCGAGCAGACGGGTCCCGAGCAGACGGGGGTTCCTCCCCCCCTCTCTGCTGACCTCGGCCTGCCCAGGTCTCGATTCGATTTCTCCGATCCGCTTCGGTCCGATGTCGATGGCCTCCGAGCCCGCTTCGCTTCGACTTCGGCTTCCGATTTGGGCTCCAGCCTCACAATGAGGCAGATTCCAGGAGGGAAAGAAGCACACACAGACACACAAGTCATCGTCGACTCCAGGAAAAGATGGCAAATTATGGGAAGTGGGGGGGAAGACGAAATCCCAGACAAAAATATGGGAACATATGGGGCATCCTGTTGTTTGCGTCTATTCATGTGTGTGTCCCTGGGCCCCTTCAAGATTCTCTCTGCCGATTCCCGCCGATGCGACTCCTCCCGACTTGGCTGCCGTTTCCGGTGCGATCAATTTGGATCGCCGATTCGACTTATCGATTCTTGGGCTCACGCCGCACCGCCGACCTTTTGGGGGGCTCCTGGTAGGTCTCTCGGGTGCCTCCTGGCAGCTTTTTTGAAGCCTTTTGGAGCCTCTTGGGGCCTCTTTTGGGCCTCTGGTGGGCCTCTTGGAGCCTCTTGGGGGCTTTTTGGGGGCCTCCTTAGGCCCCCTCCTGGGGCCGTCTTGGGGCCCTCTTGGGCCGTCTTGGGGCCCTCTTGGGCCGTCTTGGGGCGATCTTGGAGGCCTCTTGAGCCGTCTTGGACATTGTGCAAGCCCAAGGGGCGAATGTGCTAAAATCATACGTTTCTCTGCGGGAATGCGACGATTTTTACTTCTGGGGGCCCTCTTGGGACGCCTCTTGGAGGCCTCTTGGGGCGTCTCGGGGCCTCTTGGGCCGTTTGGGGGCCATCTTGGGCGTCTTGGAACGATCCATCGGCGACTCGGGGCCCTCCTTGACCGTCTTGTGAGCCTCTTGGGGCCCTCATGGCTCGTCGTGTGGCCGTGACGCGTTCAGAAGGGCTGGCCGGACCCACCCCCCCTCCAAACCGACCGGACCGGGCCCCGGGGGGAGGGGTTTGGGAAGGGGGAAGCATCTCCCACGCCGATGACCCCAAGTGGTCGGCGGATTCGATTTGGGGCTATCCTGCATGCCGCCCCCCCTGTTCGTCAGGGTCCACTTCGCGCCGAGCGACCCATTTGATGGCGATCGTGGCCTCTACTCTGGCCCCCGGCGCGCCACAGGCAAGCCACCGGCGTGCACGTAACCACGTCCTGCTTCAAGGTTTGGAGGCGGACTCGCGCAGGAGGAGAGAGAGAGAGAGAGAGTGAGGATCAGGAGAAGGAGGAAGGGAAACGGAGCAGTTGCAGGAGTGAGTGGTCGGAGGAGGATGGGGGGGGGAAAAGGAGGAGGCAGAGGAGGAGGATGCGGAGCCAGAGGATAAGGAGGAATATGAGATGATCATGCTGATCATGGGCAAACGCGGCAACGGACACGGGAGCAGCTTGCCCATGGATCAACCAGAACGTTTCAGGGCAGCACAAGCGGGCGTTGTACGATAGTGCGTCGATGGATTTTTACGCAAGAGCCAGGGATGATTAGGTTGTGCAGCTTTTGTGCTGTTATCGACTGGCTCCTACGAGCCTGTCTTCTTGGTTTGGACGGTGTTCTGCGGATTCACGTTTACCTTTCACACAGAAGTTTCGGCATTGGAGTGCGCCCTGATGTAGTTTTCTATTTTTAAGTGGGTCATGTAAGCACCCAGTGGCAGAACCATAATCTGGCCCAAGGGGTCAGCACGAGAAGCCGTGCACGGTTCCTTTACAACAGGCGCCGCATGTGGGGGGAACACGGTGTGTTTTTTTACAAGAAAAACGAAACATTTGGGAAGGATTCTGAAAGGGAGAAGAGAAGTGGTTAAACACGAGGAGGAATGGGAGGCGGAGTTGAAGGAGGAGGAGGATGAGGAGGAAGGGAAAATTCATGAGGGAGAAGGGATGAGGAGGGGGGGGTGGAAGGGAGGATGCGGGGGAGGGCTAGCTTGGACATTCGGCTCGTTGTCTTCGCATGCCCTGATTGCACGCCTCATTCACTCTCAGGAGCGTCCCTCTCAGGACAGCTGATTCTCCAGAGGTCCGCAGATAGTCCTGGCGTCCTCCAGAGGTCACCACCTACCAAACCACCCCAACCCAAACCCGAAGGCCTCAATTTGCCCTCCATTTCCAGTGGGGGGGGGTCGGGGAGCATTGAAAAAACCACAGATGAAACCCTTACCCCCCTCCCAACCCGAAATTCCGGTCTTCGGGTTGGTTTGGGGTGGTCTGGTAGGTAGTCAAGAGGTCTCCGGAGGCCCATGGAGCCCCTCCTGGAGGCTCAGACTCAGCGCCAGAATTTCCGAGCACCTCCTGGCGCTATGGTCCCCGGGAACTCGCCCAACACAGGCGGCCCGGATTAGCAGGTCGACCCTGCCAGATCCAGGGCACCCTCGTGTTGTGATGCTCCAGCCTGCTTCCACCTTGGTCACCAGGAAGCATTTCGAGCGCCCCAAAACAAAGTACCGAAGCTCGAGGGCTTTCACGTGCCGGGCCCTGGGGAGACACTCGCCCCACACTGGTTCGACACTGCCTCGACACTCTCTTCTGACACTTTTCTGGGCGCTCGAAGCTATTTCTGGGATGCGGCCCTTAAGTAGGACGGGAGCAGCATAGTCCTCGGGAGCTCACCCTTCCTAGGCGGCCCGGATCAGCAGGTCGACCCTGCCAGATCCAGGGTGCCCCCGCGTCGTGTGTCTTGCGGCCCATGCCTCCTGCATTTCTGTGGCAGCGTGGCCCTCGCGAGGGCCTCGTGTCCTCTCGCGTGTCCTCTCCAGTCGGGTCCGACCGTGAGCCCGCGGCGGTGGAACGAAGAGATCTTCCATCTCCGCATCGCCTCGTCTCGATCCCCAAGGCTGCTCCTAGGTCCCCGCTGCCGGGCACGTCCTTGCGCCCCGAATCCCTCGCCTCCCGGGGCGGGGGGCAGCAGGCCCGGGGGTGGGAGCATTGATCCCCCCTCGTCGCTTCCTCTCCGAGCGGAACCCGCGTGCTTGTTTCGGCGACGCATCGCCGACGCCAAGGCACCGAAGAGGACGAGGAAAGGCAGGATTTGGAGGAGGAGGAGGAGGGGCAGGGGAGGGAAGAGGAGGGGGGGGCGGGGAGGGGTGAGGAGGAGCAGGGGGAGGAGCAGGGGGAGGAGGAGGAGGAGGAGGAGGAGAGGAGGAGGAGGAGGAGGAGGAAAAGGAGGAGGAGGAGGAGAATAGGAGGAGGAGGAGGAGGAGGAGGAGGAGGAGGAGAAGGAGGAGAATGAGTGGGAGGAGGAGGCAGCCGCACAAAGACGCACGCGCTCCTGCATCCGCATGGGTCTCGCGAGAACGCATTCGGAAACCGAGGGTGACCTCGCACATTTGGGCTCCCTTCCCCCTCTCAGCTGTTGAGGAGGAGATGGAGGAAGAGGGAGATGCAGGGAGCAGGAGCGTCAGGAGCAGACAATTGAGGGAGGAGGAGGAAGAGGAGGAGGAGGAGGAGGAGGAGGGAACATCACTGAGGAGGAGGAGAAGGACCGATGGGAGGGAGCAGGAGGCGAGGTATAATAATGAAGGCGGAGGGGGGAGGGAGGGAGAGAGGAGGAGGAGGAGGATGAGGAAGAGGAGGAGGGAGAAGGAGGAAGGAAGGGGAAGGAAGGGGAAGGGACAGGAGGAGGAGGGAGGAAGGAGTAGGGAGGAGGGTGAGTAAGGAGCAGTAGGGAGGAGTATGGAGGAGGAGTGGGAGGAGGAGGAGGAGGAGGAGGAGTCCTTGTTTCCCCCCTCGCCCCCTTGCTGGTGTGCTCGTCCCGCCGCCCCTGGCGCGCGAGGCAGAACAAGAAGACCAACGCCTTCGGCAAGGCGGGGAGGGGACCTTCTCGGGGGGCCCAGGGCGGGGCGCTGCGACCGCTCGGGCAGTGACGCGAGGGTCCACGCCCTGGCATCGCTCGGACGTGTGCACTTTTCCTTCGGCGAGGGCCATTGAGGAGCATCCTGGATCACTTGGCGGAAAAACCACGCACGAAACCCCAAAAAGCACAGGGAATGGACGTCCGAGCGATGGCCAGACGCGGGCCCACCACATGGGGTCGCACTGGATGGGTCGGAGGATCGCGACGCATTGGCGATGCACCGGCGATGCATCGGCGATGCGGCTCGATTTTGAGCCCGATGTTCTCCACGCCGACGGCGCTGATGTCTCGCCGACGTCGCCCATGTACCGCCGATGCACCGCCGATACATCGCCGATACATCGCCGACGTCGCCCGATGCGGCGCGATCCACTGTCCCCATCTGCTCGGACCCCATTTGGGAGGCCTCCAGTGGGGCCACCACCTTATCTGGGAAATCGAGGAAGGAGGATCGAGGATAATTGTTGCTTGGCACGTTGTTTTTGGCGTTCTTCAGGGTCCATTCGATGGTGATCGTGGCTGACGATTCGATTCGATTCCGATATGATTCGATCCCGATTTGATTCGACGATCCGATACGGCTTGATAATGCTTGCATGGTGTTAATTTGCATGTTGGCGCTTCCGTTCCGATTCGATCCTGAACTCGTGTCTTGCGGCCGGCGCCGCCGACTCTGAAGGGGGACGACCGACCACGGCGGCGACGACGGCGACGACACTGACGCGGGCCAGAGGGATGCTTCTTGGGGTCTCTTCGGAAAGCTCTCGGGGGTCTCTGGGGAGGAATTCTGCGGCCTCTTTTGGGCCTCTTCGGAGCCTTTTGGGGCTTCCTTGGGACCTGGTGGGCCTCTTGGTGCCTCATGGGAACATCTTGGGGCCTCCTGGGAGCCTCTCGGGGCCGAGGACTTGAAATGTCCTTTCGGGTCCCCCGTCTGGGCACGCTCTTGGAGCCATCTTGGCGGCCTCCTGGGATGTCTTGGAGGCGTTGTGGGGTGTCTTGGGGTCCTCTTGGGCTGTTTTGGGGCCCTCTTGGAGGCCTCCTGGGCTGTCTCGGGGCGATCTTGGGGCCCTCTTGGGCCGTCTTGGAGCGGCATGGAGCGGACCAGGCGAGAACGCACAAAGCTTCTCGCCTTGTCCGCTCGGGGGCCCTTCTCGGGACACCTCTTGGATGCTAATTGGGGCCTCTTTGAGGCTTCCTGGGCAGTCTGGAGGGCGTGAAGGCGTTTTGGATCGATAGATTGAAGATTGGAAGCCCTCTTGGATCGTCTCCAGGGCCTCTTGGGGCACTCTTGACCTGTCTTGGTACTTTCTGAGGCCCCGGGACCCACAGGGGGGGCCCGCGCAGGGGAAGCAATTGAGCAGGGGAAGCAGCTGGTCGATCTAATCGTGCTCGGACTTCATCCAGGCGCTCATGGATTTCTTGCCGTCGATGTCGCTGGGGGACCTTTTGAGCCCCTTATCTAAGCGTGTTGTCTGGGCGTCACCAGATGTCGATGAACCCCCATATGTGTCCGCTCAAATCTTCTCAGCGTTCTTGATGATCTCAGCATTGTCTGCGATATTGACGTCCGTAACCAAGCACATGTCGTTCGAGTGTTGGTCGTCCAGGTCTGTCTGTGTTGGTCGTCCAGATGAGTTGGCGTACCTGACTCCCCCCCCTAACCCCCGCGGGACACACACCCCCGACGGGGGAGGAGTCAAAGCGAAGGGCCTTCTCTTCGACTCGATTACGACATTGCTCGCTTTTTCTCTCGCTGACAGACTTGAGGTGGAGGGTGCAGGGAAAGGGGGCGACAGACGACGACTGACGGAGACGACGACTCGAACAGACAAGCCACCCACACACGTCGACAGGGTCGGCGGATGTCGCACTTCGATGCCGACTGATCTTGTCCTTCGGAGTCCCGGGTGGCTTGGCTGGGCCCCCAGGGGGCCCGTTCGGGGGATCGACGGTTGCAGGAAAGGGGGCCGCAGAGGTGGTCCCATCTAGAGGCCCGCCTGTGCACGCAGGGGGGGAGCACGACCGATCGCAACCACATCGGACCGGTCTGGAACCACTGCGGAATGATTACAAGCAGGTGCGATCGGTCCGAAGTGGTTGCAACGATTTTGTGAAGTTTCAGGAATGTTTCGGTTAAGGGAGACAGCAGGCGAGCGCTTCTGGATGCAGTGAGCTCCCCTTAGACTCCCGATTGTAATTTGACAAAGCGGTTGCAAACCGTCCGATGTCCAACCGGCAGTGGTGGTAACGGTAGTAGCAGTTGTATTATTTTTTGTCGTACCCAGAGTAGTAATAGCGGTAAGCATCGTCCCCGAACCAATTTTTGTCATCCCATCATCTTGTCTCCCTTTCCCTCGCCCCTCCCTTTTCTATTCCCCCCCACACGGCTCCTCCCTCCACATCTTCTTTTGTTCCCCCTTCCCTCCCCTCCCTCCACCTTCTTGTCCACCCCTTGTCCCTCCCCTCGTCCCTGCCTTTCCTTTTTACCCACGAGACTGCGCAAGAGAAGGTCGTGCTAGCACAGCCCACTCGAACCAAAGGACCGCGGAGCGGTTACGCACGACGCACTCGCTGGATCATTGATCGCCCGTTGTGGGCCGTATGTCCTTTGTCCTCGTCTCCGCCTGCACTGCCTACCCCTCCAGCACTACCCTTATGTCGGGCCTGTCCCCCTACAGGCCATGTTCGACGAAACATTAAAAAGACCTTCAACAAATACCCCCAAAAATACCCCAACAAATAGTTCCCAGACTATGTTTGTGGATCATGTTCGCGTTATTTTGGGGGTATTTTTTTATTTTCCTCGAAGATCCCCCCTGTAGGGGGGACAGGCCCGACTTCACACTGCCCCCCTCCCTGCCCCCCTCCCGCGCGAGGTGATCCCGACGACGCCCTTCGCGCAGATGCCCTCGGCGCGCCGCGCGGCCCTCGCTCGTCTGCGCGGGCGGGGAGGGCAGTCCCTCGGGCCAGCGGTGGTCCCCTGGGGGAGGGGAGGAGGAGATAAGGAGGAGGCGGAATGAGGAAGGAGGAGGAGGAGGAGGAGGACGAGGCGGAGGAAGAGGGGGAGAAAGAGGAGGAGGGGGAGGAGCAGGAGGAAGAGGACGAGGAGGGGAGGGAAGACACCGCAACAGTTGAGACGAAAGGTCGTCCAGGCCCCCGGGGCCGCACGTGCCAGGAAGGCCTTCCTCGCAAAGTGAGAGGTTCCGCATATGGAAGGGGGGTGATGGGATAACCTCCCCACGGGCCCGGGCTAAAAGGGTCCCCGTCTGTAGAGAAAAAGGCGGGCGGGAGTGATCCCGTGCAAAAGCACCGGTTTTTAACACGTTTTTGGATGCGCACCTCGGCGCCCAGGGAAGAGCGGCGCCGTCTGGGGCATCCCTCGCAGCGGCCCACAACGAGCTGACGACGGAACAAATGCCAACAGGTCACCAGCCACGACGAAGGAAGGGGCTAGCACTGGTGTGCCGCCCTTCGAGTGCCAAGGAAGGCTTGGAGGTTACCGCCGAGGATGCCCCCATGGCCGCAAGGAAGCCTGTTGCAGGACTGGTTGCGCACGGTGGAACCTGCCGATCAGCTGTGCTGAGTGTTCCTGGATCTGGTGGATATAGGTCGCCAGTGTCTCACAGTTTTTTGTTGGTCTGGCCGCTGGCCGCAGTGAAGTGCTGCGCGGGGACTTGCGCGCGATCCGTGCGTTTCGCGATAACGCTGGCGCGGTGACCGTCACACCTGGCCTCGCGGCCGTCCCCGTTGGAGGCTTGGTGGGCCGAGTGGGGGGGCGCGTTAGATGCGAGTGATGGGTGGCCAACGCTCCTTGCCGCTGCTGAGCGTTGAGAGGCTGCGCTGTTCTTGGTTCGCCAGGGTGGTTTTAGGCAGCTCGGACAGTGCAAAGGGGGCGGCGCAGTGAAAGCAAGTCGCGCCACAGTCGTCGTTTGCGCTGAGGGAGGAAGCCCGAACCTCAGCGGGTCGAGGGCATGCTTCGACGTTGTCCGCGATTGGGGACCAAGGGTCGTCGAGATCGTCGAAATTGTCAAGGCCTGGTGGCCCGGCCATCGGTGGCTCTCATGCTTGCGCACCGATTCCCCGCCCTCCATGTCTGGTGGGGAGCGGGCTTGGATCGCTTCATGGAGAGATCAGAGATCAGACTTGGAGTGGCTTTCTCGCCCGCTGGGCAGAACGAGTGCGTGGCGTCGTTGGTCGTAGATGGCGACGGCCAGGCAGTGGAGCACAGCGGCGACCTTGTCGCGCCATCTCGCAGCGCACACCGCGTTCTGCTGGGCGCTGCGGGGCCTTGCCCCCGCGATGGCGAGTGCGTCGGCGTGGCGGTTGACATGTTCAGAGGCGCGACGCGGCCTTCGTGGATGCTGTGCCCGCTGGACGTTTATCAACCCTCCGGCTTTTGAACAGGTCAGGTGTCGCGGGGAGCACCTTGTGGATGCTTGCCAAAGGTCCGATTCTGGCCTCGCGCGACGCGGTGCGACAACCCCTTGGTCGTCGGCGAAGACGTGGTCCAGTCGTTTCGCGGCGGCGAAGAGGTGCCGCACAGCGAGGGTTTCGGCTTGTTGCCCGAACTGCGCCAGGCCGAGAAAGCGGGCCGAGTGGCTCGGTTCGTGGTCAGGGATAGAGTTCACGCCCAGGTTCGCCCTGGCCCCCTGGCCAAGAGGAGGCGGGCTGTCTAGAACAGGCTTCGTCGGCTGCGGCGTAGGCCAATCGGGCGCCATGGTTTCTGGCGCACTCGCGGTGGGCATCTCCGTCCTGGCCACCCTGGCTGGCCCTCGGGATTGACGGCGGGGGCTCGTCTTCCGCCAGGGGCGTCGAGAGGTCGAGCAAGGTGGGGTATCACTTTCTTTCGAAAGCCGCAGTGCCACGAGCGTAGTGGGAGGCCCTGCCACTGTTGATCCGTGATCATGATCTCGGGGGTAGTCCTCTAGTTTGCCCAGCAACGGCATTGCTGCATTGTGTGATATTGGGTTTCTTCGCCCCGGTCACACCATCTGCGTCGGGGGCCGGGCCCGCCTGGACGACGGCCCCGTCTCTCCCCGCGGCAACTGCGCCGAAGCCCACGCGGTGCATTCAGTTTTGCCCGTTGACTGCGTGAGCTGGGCGTCGGCTGCGCTGTCGAGGCCCTGCTCGACGGGGGGCGCGGCCCCATGATCGCACGTGGTGGCTAATTCGGGTCACGGCCGCTCGAGTTGGGCATTGGCTGGCCGAGCTCTGCGAACAGGCCCCCCCCCCTTGGAATGAGCACGGGTTCCGCGTGGAGGCCGGCGTCCACTCGCGCGTGCTATCTTAGCCCTCACAGTGCTTCTCCGCGGTTGACGGTTGATCGCGTGGCCAGGGGCCGCCCAGTGCGAGATCCAGGGTCGCCCATTGCGAGATCCAGGATCGCCACTTGGGTCGCAGTGCGCATTCTTGTCGCGAGGGGCGGACTGATCGAGCCCGCAGTCGGGTGCCTTCAGGGGGCGCCCGACGCGTGGGAGGCGCTTGATGGCTTTTCCCAACGAGCTCGCATCCGCAGTCATCCTGGCGCCCTCGCCGTCGCCCCTGGCCATCCTCGCGAGGGCCCTCTCCCTTTGGCGCCATTTTCAGACTGCGCCCAACTCGCTTCGCCTGGTGGCCAGTGCTGATTGGGCGCTCTTCGAGGCGGAGAGCGGCGACCAGGCGGCGCCGTTGGCCGCCTGTGGCCTACCCCGCAGCGCTGAGTTTCCTGGCCCGACTGCTCATCTAGCAGCAATGCTCGGTCGAGGAAGGCCCGTAGTCCGGCGGCCGCAGGGGCCGTGGATTTGGCGATCGTGGCCGCGCGCGCAGCTGAGCGACGGCGGGATGCACGCGCGTCGCCGCGATGACCAGACGCGCGCGAGAGCACCGACGTCGCGCGCGGGAGGGGCGCCGCGGCGGCGCCCGCCCGCGCGCCGCAGGGGCGGGGGGCGGGCGCCTGCCATTCGGGCGCGGCGGCGGCGGTCATCGCAGACGCGGCGCCTCACGCGCGCGACTTCCCGAGGGCGGCAGGCATGGACGGCCGCTATGAGGCCGATTTCTGCGACGAGGTCGTCAGAGGACCCGCGTCTTTCCAGTGCAACCCCTCCCGGCGGCTTCCTGCGATGCCCGGCGCATTCGGCTTGCAACCGTCGCGCCGGCGACGGCAGGCACGCGCGCGCGGGGCCGCCCCAAAGCTGACAGGGCAAGTGCAGCGAGCTCTCCAGGGCGTCGGGCTGTGGCAAGCTGGCGCCCCGAATGCGCGCGCGCGGATGGACGTCGCCGAGGGGGACATCTGGTCCGCGGGTAGCTCGCCGCGCCTGTGTCGCGGGCAAGACGCAGGGGCGCGCAGGAGCAGCTCAGGGGCGATGCCCGATCGAAGCGCGGTTCCGCGCGCCCAGGCGACAACAGCGGGGCATTCCGTCAGGGAACGTTCCGGTTTCTTTGGTCGTGCAACCGTCGAGCCCTTCTGACGCGCCCGCTGACCTCGATCTGATGAATTTGAAGTGGTCATTGCCCGTCGGGGTGAGTGGCGCGGATGGCGCGGCCCCGGAAGTGCCCAGCGCCGTTCTCCGCTCGGGGCCGCTCCGCGCGCCCCGCGGAGCGTGGGCAGCGCCACCGTGGGGGGCGCGAAAGTTTACAGCGGCGGAGTTGTCTGCCGCATATTCCAGGCGCTTGGCTGTGCCCGCGGGCTCGCGCTGGCAAGCTCCTAACGCGCGGGGCTTCGCGCCCGCGCGGTCAGACGGCCTTTGGGCGCGGGGGTGCGATGGCCGCTCCTGGTCGACGATTTCATCGCGGCCCCGCGTTGCGCGCCGCTTGTCGGCGGACGGGGGCGCGGCACCGGCGCCATCGATTCCGTCAGCGACGCCCTCCGCGTCGCATTCGTTTGCGACCTTTGGCAGTTGGTTGTCGCCGATGCGCGCAACGGTTTCCTCCTTGCTGCTGCCGGTTCGTTTGCGAGAACCCGCCGCGCTGGCGCCGCGCCCTTCCCCCCTTGGAGGTGGGTCGCGCGGCGGCCGCCGCGTTTTGGGGCGCGGCTGCGCTTTCCGCGGGGCTTGATGGCGCGGTCTGGCGACCGCCCTGTTCGGCGCATGGGGGGGCGCCCTCTGCTCTGATCCGTCGCCGCTGGTGAGACGATCGTTGCCGGCAGCCTTCGGGGCGTCAGCATTCGCAGGGGCGCGCTTCTGCGCCGGCGATTGCCCGTGGAATGGCGGGCCCGCGGGCGCGGGCCCATGTTTTTGGCGGTGGGCTGGCCGCGTTCGCCGCGCCACTTGATGGACGCGTGGGCCTCGGCGACTTGCGCGGCAGCGATGCCCCGCGGTTGGGCGCCCGCGAAGCGGCGCTTCCGACGGCGAGGCCTGCGCTGGCCCCGCCGTCTGCCTGGACACCGATGCCCGCTCTGCTGTCCGCGCGGAAAACGCCAGACACAGTTCGCTTTGGGGGTGTTCTGCGCGAATCTTGGCGCGTGGTCTGGCGACCGTCTGGGCGTCGCGCTGCGGCGTGGCTGCGGCAGCGGCAGCTGCGGTCGAAGTGGGCGCCCCGGAAAGAATCAGACATAACAAAATCCACCGGCTGAATCCCGAAGATCGCCGCGGACCGGCGCCGGCCCACCGTTGCGCCGTGGCGCGCGAAAAGTGCGATGTGTTTTGGTCTTCGCACGGCGCCGCTGCGAGGCGCGACCGCGGCCGCGAAAGCGTCGGCGAAGTCGTCGTCGAGTTGTTTGCGCGAGGCGTCTTGCTTCGTTGTTGCGTCGCGTTCTGTCGCCGCTTGCCACGCCGCGCCTGGCCCACCCGGGTAGCGCGCGCCGCTGAGAGGCGCAGCGCTTGATAATCGTGCCGCGAAGAGCTCTTCGAGCGCAGGCACGACCGCGATAGCGTCGGCGTCGCAGATGGCGGCGCACCTCCAGACGGCGTTGCCAGCTTGGCTTAGAGAGATCCGGACGACGTTTTGGAGGCACTTGACACCCCCCCGTCCGGGTTGGTAGATTTACCTTGGGATGCGCCCTGTCGTAGGATTTGTAGCTTTGGCCATGCGATGGGGCAGTGGGATTGGGCTCTCGTTGCGCGGGTGGCCCGTGCCGATGGGCCCCAGTATCGGGGGTGGACAGAACCCCCAACAGTGACACGTCGATTAGTGAATTGTTCGTTTTCCGTTCTCGAGAGGGCGCCGCGGCCGTTATTTTCCAGGCTTGCGCCCGCCAGGTTTGGGCTTCAGGTCGTTTTCACTAAAGCACGTTTTATTAATGGGAGGTCTGTCCATCCCCGACAGTATTGCGAGCGCCAGAGTTTTGTCCTGAGTGCGGATTTGCTGTAGAAGCCGGTCGCCTTCCTTTAGCGCGCGAAGTGAGATGCTACTGGTGCACGACGTCCCGTCACCCTCCTATCCGAGTTTAGCGGTATCGGGGACGTCCCAATTGACCGAGGGAAACAATAAAGAACCCCCGCCCGTCCGGTGAAACGAGCACGCCTCCAGCACCCGAAATCTTTATTCTGGCACCTTGAGGGGGAGGAAGAGGAGGAGGTGGAGGAGGACGAGGAGGTGGAGGAGGAGGAGTTCCACAGAAGTTCAGCGCCACAGGAGCAGCTCATCATTGTCATCAGACATCTTCGCACTTCGGCGTTCAGGGCTCGTGCGCTGCAGCCGTCGATGCTACATTTTTTTTAGATGTCGGTCGCCGGGGCGCTGAATAATTGTTTCTTTGTTGCGTTTTGTTGCGGTGCTAAAGATACTGCTGCGCTGAAGCCGCCTCCGCGAATTATTTATTTCCGTGTCGGTGTTAACGATAAAACAGGCGGATATTTAATTGATGCCCCGAATATGCGCAGCCCGGCTTATGAGCCATCGACGTCGACCGCGGTCTTTCCGTGCGGTGGGCCACCGCCTACGGCCAAACGTGCGTGGGGGTTCAGTGCGGCAGGGTCTAGTTCGTTATGTGTTCTCGCACAGTATCATCAGCTCGCCCCTGGGCATACGCGGGTTGGACCAGTCTTGCTGGTCAATGGTATCGAGCTTCGTTGTAATTGCAGCGACGTCTCGGTCGACGCCACCACAGCTGTAGAGTGCGGCGGCGCAGGCTTCTTCCCGACTGACATTGGTTTCCGGTCGATATATGAAGTAGCCTTTCTAGCAAACTTTGCCTGGCGGCTTGGGCTGCCGTGGTGCAGGGGGCGCGCGGCGAGGACCTTTCGGAACCATGGCGCGCGCGGGCGTTGAAGAGAGATGGCAATAATCAGTCACACGGTGGCATGTCCCGTGTCCACCCCAGCGGTGCGAACAACGTGTTGTTGCAGCGGTGCGAACAACGTGTTGTTGGGCGTTCCGTATCGTAGGTGCGCGCCGGGTCAGGGACCCTCAAGCCGAGATTGGAATTGAAGGAAGGGAGATGGGGGTGGGAGAGGGGCGGAAGTGGAGGACAGAGCAAGGAACACGGAACCGCGGGAAGGAGGGATTGTGAAGGACCGCAGTTCGCGCCTCGCTGCTGCTCATCCTCCCCGTTTCATGTTCCTCCTCCTCTTCCTCCTCCTCCTCCGCCTCCTCGTCTTCCGCCTCTTCATCGTACTCCTCCTCCTCCTCATCCTCCTCCACCTCCTCCTCCTCGTCCTCCTCGTCTTTCTCCTCATGTTCCTCCTCCTCCTCCTCCTTACCCTGTTTTCCCTCATGCGCCCACCTCGCTCGTCCGTCTCCGTCATCCTCGTTTGCCCCATTTTCCTTTCGCCCATTTCCCCTCGTCGTTCCCCCTCCCCTCTCCGTCCCCGTTTTCCTCCTCCTCCTCCATCTGTCCCTCTTCCTGTTCATCCTTCGGGCGTGCGAGACGGGCAGCAGCAGCAAGAGAACCAACCCCAGTCAATCCAGTTGGAGGAGGAGGAGTCGGAGCATGAGTATGAACAGGAGGCCGACGAGGAAGAGCAGGAGGATGAGGAAGAGGAGGAGGATGAGGAGGAGGAGGAGGAGGAAGAGGAGGAGGAGGAAGAGGAAGAGGAGGCGGAGGAGGAGGAGGAGGACGAGGGTTTCGAACTGGACGATGGCGGGTGCGCGCGCTCAGTGGGGGGTCTGGTGGCTCGCACACCCGGGCCGCGCATCCGTGTCCGTGTTCCCGTTATGTCCCCGTCCTCCCCGGTTTGTTGGGGCTCGTCCTGTCGCCAGCAAGCACCCAGGCGGGCTGTCGCTCCGCGCTTGGGTGTAGAGAGGCACGTATTTGACCGACACACCTTGAATTGCCATTGCCAGAAGCAGGAGGAGGAGGAGGAGGAGGCGGAGGCGGGCGTAGAGGAGGACGAGGAGGAGGACGAGGAGGAGGACGAGGAGGAGGATGAGGAGGAGTACGAGGAGGACGAGGAGGAGGACGAGGAGGAGGAGGAGGAAAAGGGGGCAGGGGAAGGGGGGCAGGGGAGGATGAGGAGGGGGGGGGGGAGCAGGAGGAGCCGTGCCCGCGCAGGGTGCGCCCCCCGTCCGCGTGTTCTTTTTCGACGACAACCTGGACCTCCACGGCGCCGAATCGGACCCAGGCCCGGGCAGCCGCCGGCCCCCCCCAGTTGCGGCCTGTCCGCCGCCAGGCCCTCCACCGCTGGCCTCCGCGCATCCCTGCGCCCCCCCCCCGTCCCTTCACTCATCCCATGCGTCCCTTCATCCCCCATCCCTTCTCCCCTCCCTCACTCCCCCGTCCTCATCTTCCCTTCACTCCCTTTCCCTTCATCCCCCTTCATCCCCTTACCCCTCCCCCCTCCGACTGTGCGAGTAGAGAGGGGATCTGCGCCATGGTAAGGGATGGGAGGGAGGGGCAGGATGTCAGATCTGACGCGAGCGCACCTAGCTTGCCTTCATCCCTCCCCTTCATTCTTCCCCTTCATCCCATTCATCCCTCCACCACTCCTCGAGACGGTCGGAGTGGGCACGGACACAAGTGGTTGCAGAGGCCGACAGCACGTCTGGCTCACTCTGAACAGGACTCTCTGCCAGTGTCTCCGCGGACATGGGTCCATTTGAGGCGGAAGGCCGCCTGCCGAGCAGCGGACGAGGTCTGCTTGAACAGCATGTGTTTCGTCGGGCATGTCCCTCCACAGGGGGGAAATTCAAGCATAGTCAAACATAGTCTGGGGACGATTTGTTGAATATGTTTGATAGCTTTTGAATCGTATTGACTTTTTTGATAGTTTGTGAATCGTATTTGGCTCTTTTTCTGCTTCGTCAAAAAATCCGCCTGTAGGGTGCCATGCCCGACCTAAACATGTGTCGTGAGGCATCGTGTTCAGGTTTAGTTGGCGCCCGCATCGGGCGTCCAACGCGCCCCGTTCCCCCAGTCCCTGAACCTCCGCCCCTCCCCCCTATACTTCCCCCCCATCCCTGGAGGGGGCAAAGGCCTTTCCCCCAGTCCCTAAATCCTCGGCCCCTGGCAAATGGGGGGGAAGGGGCCTTCTGCAGGGTGCTTCCGTTTCCCCTTGCGCTCAGCAGCCTCCCCTTTGAAGGCGGGGTGGTGGAGGGCCTCGGTCCCGAAGGGGGGGGATGTCCTCGCGACCGCACAGCAGTGTTCACGGGGGCTCCCGATCAGAAGCCTGCGGCTTCGTACATATTCCAAGACTTTGTTTTTTCGAACACAAATTTCGAACACACAGAAAAAAAACACACAACATTTTGCCCGCGCGCCCATTTTCGACATCCCATGACAATCACAGCTTCTGCTTAAAAAGAAGTTGGCCGCCCAGATGAGACCACGCGGGCCTTCGTGCGCGCGCGCATGCTGGTATCAGGGCGGGACCTCAACGCCGTGTTGCTGGACTTCGGCCGTGCTTTGTTCCCCGTGTCGGCAGGGGGGGCACAGGAGAGCAGGTACTCCAGATTTCGTAATAAAGGGAGGGGGGTCTCATTTCGGGGGGGTCTCTTCCAGGCTATCTTGGAGGGCCTGGGGTGTTCTGGGGACGATGTTTTGGAGGGTTCTCCCACGGGGGAGGTCTGAAATGGCTTGTCTTGGAGGGTCCAGACCCCCTCCCTTTGATTACAAAATCTGGAGCAGAGCAACGCGGAACACAAAACGCAACCAAAACGAAAAACGAGGCTTCGGCCCAGCCCTGATCGGGATCACTCGAACGCCCCTGCGCGCTTGCCGGGGGGAGGGCCATGCTTTCCTCCACTGAGCTCCCCGGGGGATCCGGGAAGAAACAGCCGCGGCCCCAGGGGGCCGCAGGCTTTGCCGCTATCCAGGCGATCACAAACATGGATCAAGGGGGCGTCGATTAGCGACGGGTCCCGTTTCCGTGGGAGATCGCGGATGTCCGCCGCCGAACGAGGCGGCACCGGCCGCATTTTGGGGAGGGCACCTTCCCCGATCCATGGATCTGGCGACCGCGCGCCAAATTCATGGATCGCTGGTCCGTGTCTGCGCGACTCCGAGCTATGCAGTCGGAGAACCGGCGCGGGCCACACGAGGACGATTTGCAGAGCGCGCGCGAGGAGATCTGTTTCGGGACGGCTCACGTGCAGCCTCGTCCTGGGCGGGTGTCCTGGGAGCCCCGGATGCTCGCCCTGCCCTCTTCCTCCCTCCTCTTCCTCCTTCCTCCTCCTCCTCCTCCCTCCTCCTCCTCCACATCCTCCTCCTCCTCCTCCTCCTCCTCCTCCTCCTCCTCCTTCCTACTCCTCCTTCCTCCTCCTCCCTCCTCTTCCTCTTCCCCCGCAGCCTCCCCTGCCTGTCCTCCTCCCCCCGCCTGCATGCCGGCCAATTCGCTTCGCAGTGCCCCTGCATCGCTGCCACGCTGGAGCGGACTGCCCCGCCTCGCTGCCGACGGACAGGACAGTTTCCCGGGACCCCGCGTGCCACCTGAGCCCGAGCCGTCAGGAAGCCGCTCCGGGACCAGGATCAGTCCATGGGAGGTCCCAACATACATGAAAGCGAGCAAGCACGTCTGAAGATTGGGAACGCCACGCTCCACTTCTGCTGGGTGCGTTCGCCGAGGTTGCGCCACGTTGCGCCCGCGCCGCCTCGTAGGCGACTCGCGGGCGCCCCGTGCTGCCTCCTGGGCGTCGCCTTGAACTTGCACGACATAGTTTCCACCATACCATGTTCACCACATAGCGTGCAGCCCGTAGAGTTTACACAGCATAGCGTGCATCACATGGCTTGCCCCCCCGTCGTTGTCACCTCTAGGTTTCCCTGCTACTCTAAACAAACACGACATTTGTGTTTCCACAGTGTATTCATGCTTGTGATGACATGGCGTATACCGCCACACCCATGCGACACGTCTGACGCCACATGGTTTGCACCGCATATATTCACCTTCATATCCAGCTTCGCATGGCTTACACATACACCGGATCCCACTATATACCTTACACCGCATAGTTTCCACCTCCACTAGGCCACACATCGCCGTTTCGGGGCTCACGTCGGCTAGCGCAAATGCTTCGCGCATGCGCCTTGGCTACCCGCATCAACGTGTTCTTTTGGAAAACATGTTTACGGAAGGTGGCGACATTTAGTCTACGGACAGGCAGCGCACATTGGGTGATTTTTATATATATATATATACGCGGTGGAGGTTGAGAACGAGCACGTGAATGAGCGAGTTGTGTGTTTGCCTCCTGCCGACCCTACCCCAGGCGTCATGTGTTCCCTTCCCCTGTCTCCGCACATGTAGCGCAGCAAGAACGATCCCTCCATGTGGGGCAGTAAGCCAGGTGAGCAACTGTGGATATTCACATATTATTGGGCCGCGTAATGACAAGCAGAAACGCATTCGATCGCCAGTTTCTGTCCCATACACGTATGTTGTTTCATCTCGCTTCGCCGCGCACCCACCTTGACACGATCTGTTGCGCAGCTCATTGGCTGGCCTCTGTGCTTTAGTTTTGCATGACACCGTTGATGTTGTCTATGCCATGCCTGCGCCCTCGGCTGAGGCATATGCAATTTACGCGACACGCACACGGCGAAGTTTGTGAGTTTCGCCGATGGCAGGAGGGGCATATCTCTTGCTGGTTTTGCCATCATGTGGAGGCTGATGATATCTATCGTGCTGGCATGCGTTGTGGCCCGTCTTTTGTTGGATGATGGTGTTGTGATCGATCGGCGCTTGTGCCTCTCCGCCTGCTCGCTTACGCCGTCGACACTGCTGCCTTGCGACTGCGCCAGGTGCCAATGAGGTATCCGATCCGATGCCTTTGTTGGTCGTCTTACAGTCGGGCCGCTGAATAATGAACCCTTTTCGCTGGGGAGGGGCGCAGTGTTCCTTTATTTCTTTACGGCGTGTCTTAGATTCTCCTTAGGCCGTCTATGCGAGATCGAAGTTGAATGTATGGAAACAAACGGCCAAGCCGTGCAGTGGAAACCCATGCCAAGAAACACCTCGATTGTTTCCAGGGTCTTGGTATCGCTCGGACGTGTGCACTTTTTCTCGGCGGGGATTATCAAGAAGCATCCTGGATCATCCTGCGACAAAGCAAAAACACCCACGAAGCCGACAGAAAACACAGGGAATGGACGTCCGAGCGACGGGGAGGGGCCCCCTGGGTTTCTTAGGTTTCGATGGTCTTGCTACGCAAAGCGTGGCACTCCCACGCCAAACATCGATGGACGTCCTGTGGTCTCAGGGTCGGGCTTCTGGTGGAAGGGTTCTTGTGGTCGAGCTCCTACTGTACACATGCATTTCCCAAGAGGGTCCCGACAGAGGCCCGAGAGGGCCCGACACCAACTCCAACGATCATTGTCCAGGGTCTCCCGTGCTAGTCGTCCAACGGTTGGTGTTGACGCATCGTATTCCTTCGGCACAGGCCGCTCCGTTGTGGGAGTGCACATCTTTTGATGTGGACTCTTGCGCGCACCTGGATGTCATTGTAATGGACGCGCGTCTTGCTCAGGCATGTATCTTTCCCCACGCTCTAACGAGTTCTCAGGTGACCAGGGGCAACGCAGTGTCCTCACCCACCCACAGGTTCACCCATTTCACGCATGTCGCCTGTCGTATGTCGCCCAGGTGCAGTCTTCCAAGCTGACCACGGGTCCTCAAGTGACCATGGGAGCAACGCGGTGCCTTCACCCAACCACACGTTCACACCCATTTCGCATAGATCGGCTGCCGTGCTTCGCCCAGGTGCAGTCCGTCCCCATGTTCGTCCATGCTCTCCAGCACTCCGTGAAGGGACGAAGAACCACCCGAACCGGCCTATTGGCGTCAACGAAGCGGCCTTGGGCCGTCTACGAAACAGCCTTGCCCTGCTTGAGTCCTTCTTTGGGCGCGTTTACTGAACGACTTCGCGCGTCGGGGTGGTTGTCAGGGGGCTGGATGTTCTGACTTCTACTCAGGGCGCCCATGTCGTGGCATCGCTCGGACGTGTGCATGTTGTCCTTCGGCGAGTACCATCGGGGAGCATCCTTGATCGTGCGGCGAAAAAGCCGCGCACGAGACCGACCAAAACAGCACAGGGAACAGACGCCCGAGCGATGGCCAGACGTTCATGTCCGTGTGCGCCCGCTCTCGCGCGGCTGCGCGACGGCACGTCACGCCACCCGCCGCCCGCCGCCCTGGCCGGCGGGCCGCCCTTCCCGCGCCCCGCGAGGAACGGCTTCACCCGGGGGCGAGCAGGCCGCGGCGGCGCTCTCGCGCAGCCCCGCGCTGCGGGGACAGCGCGGGGGCCCAGGGAACGATACACGCAGGTCGTTGAAAGTAGGTATTTCTGGACTCCCAGATCCCAATCTACTTGAAGCGCCTTCCTACTTCAATAATCGACATGCTTTTGCTGCACGTGGTTATCCTTTGGGAAGGCCTGGACCCAATCCACTTTATCCGCCTTCCTACTCCATACTCTTACCGACCTCTTTCGACCGACGTGTAAGTGAGGAACGCAGCCCCTCCTTTCAAGGAGCAACGCAGAAGGAACAAGGAGTAAAACATGACGCAACAAAAAACAACGAATAACGCACGCAAGCCTGAGGGACGACCGAGCCCCTGTTGAAAAGTAAACGTTCCTCATTCAAGCCTCTCACTGTACTCCAGATTTCGTAATAAAAGGGAGGGGGTCTGGACCCTCCAAGACAAGCCATTTCAGACCTCCCCCGTGGGAGAACCCTCCAAAACATCGTCCCCAGACCCCCCCAGGCCCTCCAAGATAGCCTGGAAGAGACCCCCCCCGAAATGAGACCCCCCTCCCTTTATTACGAAATCTGGAGTGTTGCGCGTTTCCAGACCCTCCTGTGTTGGGTTCTCGTCTTCGGCAGCACTGGTTGCGCGCCTTCGTCCTCGCGGCTTCCGTTCTCCCTCCCCATCCTCAGGAGGGGAGAAAACACACAGACACAATTAATCGTCGATTCTCCAGGAAATATGGAAAATATGGGCAGTGGGGGGGAAGACAAAAACCCAGAAAATATGGGAACATATGGTGACCATTTTTATTCGTGTGTATTTATTTGTGTGTCCTGGGGCCCCTTCACATCCTCCCTCCTGCCTCCTGCTCCTCCGGGGGTGGACATACCTCCTACCCTGACACGTCGATTCGTGAATTGACCGTGTTCGCTTCGTGAGAGGGCGTCGCGGCCGTCACTGTTGCAGGTCCAGGCCGTCGGTTTCGGTCCCAGGCCGTTTTCACTGAAGGGTGGTTTACTAAAGTGAGGTTTGTCCACCGCCGACTCCTCCTGCCTCCTGCCTCCCTGCTTTCCTCTCCCGTTCCGATACATCCGGGGAAGCGAGCGGCGCAATCGTCGTCACTTTCACAGGCTCGGCAGAAGTGAGGGCCTTGCGGATCAACCTGAGGCTTCGCGGTTCCCTCAGGGGTTGCAAGTTTAGCGATCCTCGCCACTTCCGTGGGCTCCTTGGAGGCACGTTGGAGCTCGGGGCCACGCGGGTCACTTCGAGACCTCGCGGCTCCCGTTTGGGGGCTGCGAGTTGCGCACCTGGCGGCGTCATCTTCGTGGGCTGCTGGGAGGCACGGCGGATGTAAGAGCCACGCGGGTTACTTCGAGACCTCGCGGCGGTGTCCGTCGGGGGTTGCAAACTGTGCCATTGTCGTAACTGTCGTGGGCTCCTGGGAGGCACGGTGGAGTGCATGGCAGCGATGTGCAATTGTCGTAACTATCATGCAGATCTCGCGATGTGGTTGTGTTCCTGAAGCTTTCATTGACCGTGACTGTTCTCATTGAGAAGCGTTTGGGCACGTCTCGGGTAATTTCAAGGTGCAGTCGCGAAGGGCACCCTTGATCGATCAAGGGTGCTTTCTTGCTGTGTCAATCCCTTTGCAGTGTCCTCGCCAGACCGCTCGAATCCAGAAGAGGAACATCACACGGATGTCAGTGCCTTTCCCTGGTTCTATCTTTCCAGGAGGGAAAAAACACACAGACACAATTAACCGTCGATTCCCAAGAACATATGGGAACATATGGGAATTGGGCGGGAAGACAGAGACCCAGAAAACATGGGAGGATATAGGGAATCATTTTATTTGTGTGTATTTATTTGTGTGTTGGCCCCCTCGATCTTTGGTCCTGCTGGCGGGGCCTCGTCGCCACGACTGGCTTCGCACCAGAGTCCTGGACAGAGCCCACCCTGGGAGAGGTCGGGGACGCTGCTGCATCGAAGTGTTTCCCCATGTGTGTTCCCGTGTCTTCTGTCATCAAGTGTATCGGGGGCGGAAAAGAGGGGGGTGATGACTAGGGGGGGTGGATATCATGGCGGCGGCCATGATATTTCCCCAGATTTCATGGCGCCTCTTCTTGTGTCATTACGTCCCTGGCCCCCCCGCTGGGCCGCGCACATGCCGCTGGTCATGATTTGCACCCCCCCCTCTTGGACACCCCCCTCTTGGCCGCTCCCGACATGATGTGTGTTCCCGTGTTTTCTGTCATCAAGTGTAGCTCGGCGGCGAACCCACGGGGGAAGTGAGAAGGGGCGGGCCTTCTCAGAAGGTTTGGAAGCCCCCGACCTTCTGACAGTTTCCTGAGCTCTTCCCGGAGACAGAACACCTCTCAGAAGGCCGGAGGCCTTCTGTTGAGCCCCGCCGCCGTCTGAGAAGGCGTTCTCCTTCTCCTTTCCCCTCGCTCGGCGCCGAGTTCGTGTATCGAAATAGTTTTTTCTTCATGTGTGTCCTCGCGTCGTGAGCGGCTCCCTCGGGCGGCGGGATGGCAGCGAGCGACGATGGCGGCGACGATGACAACGACGACGACGACGACGACGACGACGCTGTCGACACGGACGACGACGTGCTCGCGGACGCGGGCGAGGACGACGACGAGCACGGCGAGGACGAGGGGCCAAGGACGACCAGGAGGACGAAGGCGACGAGGACGACCAGGACCACGACGAGCGAGGGCGGCGAAGGCGACGACGTCGAGCTCCCAGCGTCCTCTCGGACGCGCACCCATCTTCGGCTGCGGCCGGGACCGCCCGGGAGAAGGACTCGGGGCATCCGCGGGGAAGGCCCCACGTGCGGCGGTGCCCGGCAGGGTGTCTCCTCCTCCTCCTCCTCCCCCTCCTCCTCCTCCTCCTCCTCTCCTCCTCCTCCTCCTCCCCCTCCTCCCACTCCTCCTCTTACTCCTCCTCCTCCTCCTCATCCTCCTCCTCCTCCTCGTTCCTCCTCCCCCTCCTCCTCCTCGAGAACGGGTGATTATGGAGCCCGTCGCCTTGCGGAGGCTGTTTTCGTGAGCGTATCGTGAGGTTTTCGGCTCCATCCTCCTCATCTTTCTCCTTCTCCTCCTCCAACCCCTCGTCCTACCCCGCCTCATCCTCCTGCTCCTCCTCCTCCTCCTCCTCCTCCTCCTCCTCCTCTCTTCTTTTTTTGTTGTTCCCTGTCCCCTCAAAACAAAACAATCCAACAACAACTAAACACATCATGAGTCTTTTCGGGGAGGAGGGTGGGGGGAGAAAAATCCTTTGTGGTGCTTTCCAGAGATATCCATTTGTGCGGATGTTCAACAGAATCCCTCTGGGGTGCTTTCTAACGGATTCCTGTTGAGAGGCGTTCCAAAATGATTCCCTTTGTGGCGCTTTCCAAAGGATTCTTGTTGTGAGGATTTCCAATAATGGGGGCAAGCGATGAAGAAAATGCCCCACCCAACCCCCTGTCCCAGAGGCACCAGAATGAATGAGTGGGACAGACTAATAGATGCAGCCGTTGGAAATTATCTTTTTTATAAATCGTCTGCCCCCCTGGCGTTAAATGTTGCCTCCTTGCGGAAACTGATTGTCTATTCGTCCTCCTGCGTTCGTTTGATCACACGCGGCCGCGGGAGGAGGATTGCGGAGAGGGGGCGCCGGAAGCGCCGCCAGGGAGTCCAAGCGCAGATCCAAGAAATTCGCGGAGGACAGCCAAAAGTTTATGTTTATGCAGTTTTTGCATTACCGAGTTAAGAGCCAATCTGAGGACGGCCCAGCTGTCGTCCTCGCGGACGGCGTTTGGAGCTTGAAAATGAGGCCAACGTTGCCGCGGGAGAAGCGTGTCGGAGGAACCGAACAACTTCGGATTGAGCAGCATATACGAACAACACACTCCCCCAATCCTCTGTGTAAAAAAACAGCACGCGAGAGGATTCGAACCGAGCGGAAGTTCGAAAAAGAGGCCAGCGTCACAGCGGGAACATTTTTTGGAAGAGCCGAACACGTTCCGACCGAAGCAACAAATAGCAGAAACGACCTCGCGCGAAACCTGTGTGTAGTTAAAAACACATGATGCGGAGGGGCGCAGGCAATCTTCTGGAATGCATCAGGGGAAACCGGGGAATAGTATTCATATTGATTGACTGTAGAGGAAGAAGAATTAGCAGGGGAAAGGTGACAAGGTATAGAAAAGCGAAGGGAAGGAGGAGAAGGAGAAGGAGAAAGAGGACGAGGGGGAGGAGAATTGGAAGAGAACGTGGGGAAGGAGGTCGTTGTCTGAAGGCGGCGTGGAATGTCTGCCTTCCGCGCAGGAGTAGCGGATAATCAATTTCTACTTCCATTCAAGGCTGGCCAAAAGCACCCCCCGTGGCCTCAAATTGTCAGTCCCTGCGGATTCGAATCGTGAGCCTGCGAAGTTCTTCCCAGCTTTTGCTTGCCTGGCTCTGAATTGACCCCCCGCCCCCCGCCCTGAATTGTCAGCCCGCGCCCCCCCCCGGGTTTCCAGAAAATCCGGGATTGTCCGCCATCCGTCTGCTTGCCCCGCCCCCCCGCGATTGCGGTGGCGCGGAGGCCCGCGAAAATATTTGTTTAATTCTCTGCCCCAAAATTGTTTTTCAGCTGTTTGTTCCCTTTCGAATTTCCTTTGTGGCATGTCCAAAGGATTCCCACAGTGGCCGTTTCCAATAGAATGCCGTTGTGGTATTAGTCCAAATGATTATTGTTATGAGGCTTTCCAATCGAATCCCTTCGTGGTGCTTCCCAATGGATTCTGATTGCGAGGTTGTCCAATCGAATATTTTCGCTGTGCTTTCCATCGGCTTCTTTTTGTAGGGCTTCCCTGTTGGATCTCACCATGACTTGTGGTGCTTTTCGATGGATTCCTGTCGTGGCGCTTCACAATCGAAACCCTTTGCGACGCGTCCCAAAGGATTCTCAATGTGAGGATTTCCCGTAGAATCCCGTTGTGGTGTTTTCCAAGGGGTCTTTGTCGCGAGGCTTTC